GCCTTGCAAAAAAGATCTAGATAGATTGAGTACTGGGTGATTAGCAAATACTTGGAGTTCAACAAAGGTAAATATCAGGTTCTGTACCTGGGATGGAGTAACACTGGACTCAGGTACAGACTGAAATGAGTGACTGGAGAACAGCTCAGCAGAAAGGGCTCTGGGTATACTGGTCAACAGCAGCCTCATCCTGAGGCAGCAGTGTTCCCTGTCAGCCAAGAGGGCAAACTGCATTTTAGGATATGTTAAATACAGCAGAGCCAGCTGGCCAAAAAAGGTGTTTCTTCTGCTATATTTAGCACTGGTGCAGCCTCAACTTGAATATTGTGTGCAGTGCTGGGCTCTACAATATAAAAAAATATGTTAAGGTCCTTCAAAGTGTCCAGGGAAGGCAACAAAGCTGGTAAAAGAGCTGGAAGGCAAGTCTTATAAGGAGAGACTGAAGGCACTTGGACTGTCTAGTCTGGAGACAAGGAGGCTAAGAGGCAACCACATTGCTCCTTACACTTTCCCGAGGAGGGGAAATGGAGAAGAAGGTGCTGGTCTCCAATAACTGGACACAGGGGAATGGAAAGAGAGGTAGCTCCTCCAAGTGAAGTTCAGACTGGGTAAAAGGAAAAATCTCTTTACCATGAGGGTGGTCAAACCCTGGAACAGGTTTCCTAGAGAGGTGGTTGATGCCCCATGTTTGTCAGTGTTCAAGAGACATTTGAACAATGCCCACAATAATATGCTATAAGTTTTGGTTAACCCTGGAGAGGTCAGACAGCTAGGCTAGGTGATCCTTTACCCTGAACTATTCTATTCTACTTTTTCTTTCTAAGAAGCTCCTGATCTGCTGAGCCAGATCATTGTACTGATCATTTAGTTTTCCAGGGAAAAAAAAAAAAAAAAAAAAAGAGTCCCTGAGATAAATGGTTGTAAAAATCAGTAGTGTGTAAACTAAAGAAGTATTTGCAGAAGTGATTGGCTTTCTGAATTCCATCTCTTTCACTACTATATGCTAACGGCTAACAGATGTAAAGGTTATTGCCCTTGATAAATAAACTTGCCACAGTGTGTTTTTTTAATCCTTCCAGCCTAGTGAAAATGTGTTATCCCAAAGCCAACGTTCACACTTGAAGTCCCTGAAGTCTTTCATAACAACCTGTTCAGGGGGCATTTTTTGTTGTGACACGTTGTTCTGCACCTATTTCACTTGTCCTCAGGGATCCTTGAGGTATCCCTGCCAACGTCTTTTAGAGCCTGGCTGCTTCTGAAACATTGTTTTTTCATACACAGTCTGAGACATCCCTTCCCATCAATCAACCTTTCTTTGCTTGCAGAGCCCTATCTGACTTGTTAGAAAGTATGGGGAACATGGGTATTGGCTTATGTTGCATTCAGACAAAAAGCCCTCTCACTTCACTTGGCCTGCAGACCTCAGCTGTATCCAGGTAACAGCTTTATCACAGAATCACAGAATTTCTAGGTTGGAAGAGACCTCAAGATCATCGAGTCCAAACTCTGACCTAACGCTAACAGTCCCCACTAAACCATATCCCTAAGCTCTATATCTAAACGTCTTTTAAAGACTTCCAGGGATGGTGACTCCACCACTTCCCTGGCCAGCCTGTTCCAATGCCTAACAACCCTTTCAGTAAAGAAGTTCTTCCTAACATCCAACCTAAAACTCCCCTGGCGCAACTTAAGCCCATTCCCCCTCGTCCTGTCACCAGGCACGTGGGAGAAGAGACCAACCCTCACCTCACTACAGCCTCCTTTAAGGTATCTGTAGAGAGCAATAATGTCACCCCTGAGCCTCCTTTTCTCCAGGCTGAACAAGCCCAGCTCCCTCAGCCGCTCCTCGTAGGACTTGTTCTCCAGGCCCCTCACCAGCTTCGTCGCCCTTCTCTGGACCCGCTCAAGCACCTTGATGTCCTTCTTGTAGCAAGGGGCCCAAAACTGAACACAGTACTCGAGGTGCGGCCTCACCAGAGCCGAGTACAGGGGGACGATCACCTCCCTAGCCCTGCTGGTCACACTGCTTCTTATGCAAGCCAGGATGCTGTTAGCCTTCTTGGCCACCTCAGCACACTGCTGGCTCATATTCAGCCGACTAACAACCATCACTCCCAGGTCCTTCTCTGCCTGGCAGCTCTCCAACCACTCATCTCCCAGTCTGTAGCTCTGCTTGGGGTTATTGCGCCCCAGGTGCAGGACCCGGCACTTGGTCTTGTTGAACTTCATGCAGTTGACCTCAGCCCATCGGTCCAGGCTATCCAGATCCTCCTGCAGAGCCTTCCTACCCTCAAGCAGATTGACACGCACGCCTAGCTTGGTGTCATCTGCAAACTTACTGAGGGTGCACTCAATGCCCTGATCCAGATCATTGATGAAGATATTAAAGAGGGCTGGCCCCAGCACCGAGCCCTGGGGAACGCCACTAGTGACTGGCCTCCAACTGGACTTGACTCCATGCACAGGTATTGTCTGTTCAGAAGTGGTGCAGGTGGGTGCAGCACATTCTGCTTCCACTGAGAGATGGGCTGGAGAGATGGGCAGAGAGGAACCTCTTGAAATTCAACAAAGGCAAGTGCAGGGTCCTTCACCTGGGGAAGAAGAACCCCACACACCAGTACAGGATGGTGGCTGAACTGCTGAAAAATAGCTCTGCAGTGAAGGTAGTCCTGGTGGACAGCCAGTTAACCATGAGCCAGCAATGTGCTCTTGTGGCCAAGAAGACCAATGCTGTCCTGGGGTGCATTAGGGTGAGCATTGCCAGCAGGCTGAGGGAGTAGATCCTCCCCCTACTCAGCTGTGATAAGGCCTAACCTGGAGTATTTTGTCCAGTCCTTGGTCCCCCAGTACATGAAATGCTTGGAGCTCCTGAGGAGTGTCTAGCAAAGGGCTATTAAAATGATTAATGGAATGGAACATCTCTCATATGAGGAAAGGCTGAGGGAGCCTGGGAAGAGAAGGATCAGTGTAAGTATCTGAAGGGTACTCAAGGTGAAGGGTGTCAAAAGGATGGGGCCAAACTCTTCTCAGTGCTGCCCAGTGACAGAACAAGAGGCAATGGGCATAAACTGAAGCACAGGAAGTTCCAGCTGAATAAGGGGAAAAGGTTTTTTACTGTGAGGGTGGCTGAACACTGGAATAGGTTGCCCAGAGAGGTTGTCTCTGGTTGTCTGAATATCTCTAGGGAAGGAGTCTCCTTCCCTAGAGATATTCAGAAGCCATCTGGACACAATCCTGGGTAATGTGTTGTTCTAGGGGGCCCTGCTTGAGCAGGCAGGTTGAACTAGGTATCTCCAGAGGTCCTTTCCAACCTCATCCATTTTGTAATTCTGTGATTCTTTGCACAACCCAGCAGGAAGGTGAAGAAGCAACAAAACACCCCAAAGCCATCCCCTCTCTGGGCTGAAAAAGGACCGGGGGCCTTCCGCTGAATTTGCTCCAGTGTCTCCCTGTCTTCTGTCTTACTGAGGGTCCAAAACTGGACACGGCAATACAGAGGATGTCACAAGTGCCACATGAATAGTAGGAGAGGATAATTTCCCTAGAGCTACTGTTTTCACACTTACCAATACATCTGAGGATGTGGATGGGCTTCTTGCTGAAGTGCTGTTTCCCAGAAGATCAACACTCAGGCTGTATTGCAATACAGGGTAGTTATGAAAATCATTTACTGCAGTTTGTCTGGATCAGTAAGGAGCACAAATGCTGAAATAGTCAAAGACATTTTGCCTAATAATATGTATTTTAATTGATTTTGCCTCTTTGATTTAGAAACAGGGACTGTAAATCTATGGAGACATAACACTCACATTTGCTTTTCCCTCATTGACTTTTATGTGAAGCAACAGGTAGCACTGTCGCTCTGTTAACACTGTTCAAGAAGCCAGAGTTTGAAATATTCTTTATCTTGCAAAAACTGTCTGTGTCTTGCAACACCACTACTAAAAAATTCTCCCAGTAGGCAAACTGAATTGAATGTTGTGTGGCTGGTGGCTGTATCTCTGTGATAGCTGATCCCTTGGGACCAAGCCTTCTTCCACTTCCTCCTAACTTCTGGCTCTTTCATGGCCTAGTTACCAGGGCACCTCTGCATGCTGTGAAACTTGAAACCTAGCAATAAAAAATGGAGATTTCATAGAAAATATTCTTGGGAAACTTTAGTGTAGTCAGAGCTAGTACTTAAATGTATTAAGGCTCCCTGGTTTAGAGGGAGGTCTACCACACTGCTATAGTATTACTTGGAGCATCAAAGACTGAAGGTCAGGAGTTTCTTGTCATGGTATGGGCATGCAGAGGATTTGATTGAGCTGGAGAAGCTACACCTGTGTTCAGCATAATTATGACTTCCCAAAAGTGAGTCTGGAGCATGAGTAGACCCGGTCTCAGGTCTGTCCTCCAGAGGTCACTGCATACCCACTGCTGAGACAACTGCAAAGTTGTTTTGCAATAGCGTCATGCTAAAACTGAATGCAGGCTGAAGGTTCTTTGTCTATGAACAGTGTTTATACCTCGTTCCTGTTTGCTCAGTGACAAATAAAAATGTCATGTATTTTTCATAGACCAGTTCTGTGTAACTGTGAGAGCAAGATCTTAGCAAATATTTTGTTTTGACTTAGCTTCTCTGAGTCAGGGGAAAAAAATAGGACTCCAGGTCATTCTGCTTTTTAAAGATGGACCCTGAACTCTGAGTTAGAATAAAACTCACAGAATTTTGAATTTCAGATTTTCTCCTACCTTAAGTTGATCTGCAGTTTCAAAGATGTCTGACAATTTCTATGATCCTGGCATTGACTACAATCATTTTAGAAGAAAGATCTTAATTGTTTGGTAATACTTAAAAGTGGCTGGGAGGAAAAAAACAAAACAAAACAAAACAAAACAAAAAAACTATCTTTGGAAAAAATGTTTCAACTTTTGGATTAAACCTACAACTGAATTTTAGCAAACAGGTCTGTGAAATGCTAACCCTCACTTAATGGCAATGTCATTATATTTAATAATGAATTTAATTTTCAGATGGTTGTTTAAATGTTTATCTGCAGTATGGGAGTACAAAGGGTGAAGGGAAGTATGATGCTTCTTTTCCTGTGGCAATGTTTTAGATGCAGTTTTTCTAAACTATTGAACTGAGCTTTAGGAAAAAAGGCCTAGTTCATGGTCCTGTCGTTAGTCTGTTTTAAATTTGCACTAAAGCAGAAAATACAAGCTCATAGCCAGCTAAGGGACTCACGGTGTTTGATTTAATGCCTCCTTGAGTGATGAGCTAACGAAGCCCATGCTGTGGCTACTGTGCTTGGGGACTCGGCACACAGTGCTTAGAGAAGCTGTGTGCACTCTCTTTTCCCTTGTCCTGGGATTGAAGCTTTGCAATCTCTCAACTTGAACCTGGTCAAACCCTAGACATTGGTAAGGTGCCCAATCTAAATAGACAAATTCAACAACAGAAATATGAGTCCTGTGCGGAGAGCTGAGGCACATAAATTTCAGGGGCTTACTCAAGAATAGTCAGAAAATAAATAGCTGACCTCAAGCTTGACCTCAAGGACAAAGTGTGACTTTTTTGGATTCTGCCTCTCTAAAACTGTCATGGACCTTAACTGGAAATTAAATTCAGGCCTTCTCCGATGGAAGGTAAAACGGTGCCAAGGAAGTAATAAACCCCCCCAATTGCTGATTTTCTTTAGAGTATAAGAGAACATGAATGTATAAGGAAAGACAGAGTCTTGAAAAAAAATAAATATATATATATATATACACACACACACTTAGGTACAGACATTGTACCTAAGTACATATATACCTAATTGTATATTTTATATATATATATAATTACACTTTGTATATATATATATATTACCTAATAGCAAAAGGTCACTTCAGGATCTGTCATGCATAAATATCAGCCAAAATAAATACGTCATAATTTATACCTGCTATTCAAGTTACCAGCATTTTCCATTATCTGTGAGGTGTGTATAGCAAGAAGCAGATTAATCTCAGAGTGAACTGATGTTTCAAAAGCTGCTCTGTCCTGAGCTAAGTAATCACAGAAACCTAAGAAATTACCTGGTGATCTAACTATGCCATGTAACAGAAATTTTCTTAGGAGCTGTAATTACAATATAGCAATTGAAGACAGAGATGGCTGTTTTTTTTTTTTGTTTTGTTTTTGTTTTTGTTTTCCGTACTGATTTATTAGTTTAATCTGTAATTTTGAAAGATTCCCCACCGAACTTTAATAGTTGGCCAACTTCCAAAATACCTCATCAAAAGCAGACTAAAATTTCATTATGTTAAGCCATGAGATGGTATGGTCTTTTAAGATAACAGGTTTTCAGGAGCTCCAGAAAGACCTGAGTGAAAAGACGTGATGCCAAGATCCCTGTGAATTAGACCTGTGTCAGCAAGGACCAAGGTGGTATGCAAGGTGGTGCAGGAGGAGGCTCCTCCTCTCTAACTTGACCACTGTATCTCTTTGCAATCCATTCCTAGCTTAATCATTTTAGGAAATCAGTTGTCCTTGTTTCATGGGAGAGCAGTGAAAGACAGGATGGAGCATGCCCTCTCAGCCCTAATCACTTATTCTCATGTTTGGGTGTCCTTTTCTTATTTCCCTTCCTTCGCAGCAATACCTATGCCTGTAGGACAGTCATGACTTGGGAGACATAGTCTGTGGAGCAAGGAACACAACCCAACACAAGTCTACTAAACCTGGCAAAGGAGAGAGGCTGGCTGAAGAGGGATACAGCAGTTTTCCGTCCCCCAGACATTATAAAACATCAAGTCAAGGAACACCTATGAATGTATTCATGGCACAGCAATGAAAGCTAATGAGGATCTACTTGAGAGGTCACATGTTGATTAGTGCTAGTGCACAAACCCATATGCTCTGAAAAAATGATAAGCTTGAGGAAAACCCTTAGTTCATCCATACTTCCCAGCTAGGCTCTTTGTATTTGCCTTCTTTTCTAGCATCTCTACCTTATGAGGCACAGAAAATCACAGCTCCAATTCACCTAAACATTCAGCACTTGCTTAATTTTAAGTATTTTAAAATACTTCTGTTGTAGTCCAGCCTTTACTTTAATTGCTTCTGGAGGAATGTTTCCCCGTAATAGCAACATACAATGCAGAGAAAATTTCAGGGGGGGGGAAAAAAAAAAACAAAACCACCAACAACAACAAAACTAACTTACTGACATATAATAGTGTTTTATTTTAATGGATATAGGCTCACATTACATTGGTTTGATTACTTGGATTGGATTCTTGTGTGCATATATGGGTATATATGACTATATATATGGTACCTCTTCTTGGAAAAAATGAGTTTGTGCCAAAGCTCAATGAGTTTGTGCTAATACTGAAGAAGATGGTGACACAATTATTTTTTAAGATTATTGTTATTTCATTTTCCTATTTCTCCATGGGCAAGTTTTTTCACAATTAATTATGCATTCCTAGGCTATGCAACATTATGTGTTGTCAGAGCTGTCAGAAAACAAACACCAAAAAAACCACAACTGTTTTAGCACATACTACATTTTGCACCTAACCCAACAACAGGTGATCCAGACTTAGCTGCACAAGAAAGAACTATGAATGAGATTGTGAATGTCAGGATTCTGTCATCATTACAGGTGTAGCTGGGAACATAAAAAAGGAAATACAGATCCCCATAAATATCACAGCACTTCCCTGGAAACATTGGAAGATTTTATTCCTAAAGCTAAAGTTTACAGAACTTGTTTCTCTAATGCTTATACTGTAGAATGTTTCCGACAGTGTCATTTTTCCAAGTAAGCTCCATCTTAAAACTATGAATGCCGGAGGTTTTTGTAGAAATGCAAACTCCTCCAGTTACAGAGCACAGCAAATTGGTAACTTACACTTTGAACGAAGATATTTTTAAAAGAGAGCTCTAAGTGTCCTTAACAGAATAAATTAAAGACTGAAAAGAAAAAGCAGCATATCAGGAGGATGAGAATATATTTTTAGCAACACAGAGAAAATGGACAGAAATGTGTCTAAACCAGTTCTCCTTATGGATCGTTATTGTAAGGCTCACAGAAGTTAGTGAAGTGCATAGACATATGCCTATGCAGAATAGAACAGAATTTGTTGTACTACAAAAAATAATAACTAAAATGAATAAATAAATAAAATAAAATAAAATAAAATAATAAATAAAATGAAAGGAGGAAGCATTCAAAAGCTGAATGGACTTATACACATTTTCACATTAATTGTATGAACTTTTGGTTTGGTCCTGTTACCAGAAGTCTTGGGAAGTACTTTCCACCACGACCTCTCAGGGCTATAGCCTGAACATATATGTATATATGTATAAATGTCTGCATAGCCCTAAGCCACCAATTTTCTTTAATTTTACAACCACAATGGCTTCTAAAAATTTTGTCTACCAGACCAGATTACAAAGCGTTACTAATTGCAGTGACCTAGCTGACATAGGTGCACACATCTTCATCTGCTAGTTGTGTTTAAATACAGGTAAGGTGACCAGTCTTCTAAAATACACTTACTGAAGTGACAGCTCACTCTTGTCCTCCCTTCTATGTCTTGGAACAAGAACCATGCTACATGGCAAAACTGCACACACCTTAGAGCCTGAAAGGAGCATAAGAGCTTCCTTCTGATGTCAGCAAGCAGATTTTCTAAAGTACTAGGGCTGCCTCCAACAGCCACCATGCCACTTCCAAAGGATGACATGGAATTTGGAAGAAAGGTTTGAAGTAGTAACATCCATGAAGCCTCTTGTTTTGCATGTCTAGCATTGTCACTGGAAATTCATTGTCTGGAAAGAGGCAACAGATATCTCCATGACTAGCTATGAATGAGTGTGTTGCAGGTTTGGGTTGAATCATTTGACAACTGGTTGATTAGGGACATAACTTTTAATGTGCTTTCCACTAGTATTTTCTGAATTACATTGGTCCCTTGTGTGGAAATCCTAAGGTAATATAGTGATGAAAGCAAACTATATACATGTAGGTATCTATTATAGGATAGGGAATATAATTCAACATTAAAAATAAGTGCTTAAGTGAGTAGGCACAGAAACAAAAGTAGGATGAAAATTGCAGTGGTATGTAAATGCCACAGAAGTGATTAATAAAATGCTTACTCTCACAAACAAGAAAAGCAAGTTTCAACATTGGACTTATCAGCAGTTCAATCTTCAATTGGTGGGGCCTATGAAAGAAATCATTATTAATATCAGAAGATCTTACTGTAGGACAAACAAACAGTAGTTCCACTTTATCGCAGGATTTTCTTCTAAGGTTTCTGGGTGAACTGTGGGAAATTTCCTTCTTTGCTTCTTACTTCACCCCTGGTTAACGTCCTATCAGTAATGCTATTTCTAGCAATGTCAGTCATCAGTAGATGAATAGAAATGGATGTCATATCAGTAGGGAATGGAATGGATATCATGCCAACTCCTGATACTGAAATCTCTTTTCTCTCTGAATAGAAATTAGGCATGCTTAGTTTACTATAATTGAATATATGTTGTATTGGTCCAGATCAAATTCAATTTGACTTCAGATTATGTTTAGGCACAGAGACTGAGATTCACAAGCAAATGTGGTCTCTCAGTTCTCTTCACCTGTTAAATGCCTAGTGAAAAGTGTTGTTTAAATGTTGATAGGTAACTATGATAGCTGAACTGCTTTACTTGTGCTTAATCTTCTCTCTGACCAGATTATTATGAGTTTGAAAATTTATTCCACTCATCAGTCTGATTTCTATCCTCTTGAGATGCACTGTAGAACCTAGAATTCCTCTACAAATAATTTTCATCTAATAATTCTAATTTCTGCCATAAACAATTATACTGTATCACCACATGCTGTTATACAACGTTGCTGCAATCTTCTGAAACAGTTCTGCACATACGTTCATATCACACATTACTTGGTCTACATGTTAGTTAAATGAACCCTGTTTACCAGCACAAGTTTTGTCTGTTTCAGAATACTGGTGAATGAAGCTCATAATTCATCAAACTCAGTTTCTCTAAGGATGTATGTAGAATGCAAATATATATATATTTAATACTTATCCTATGGGCAGCTTTTGCTTCACTTGCCAGTTTAGACAATTTTTTTAAATGTCAGTCAAATGCTCTTAGTACATCTTTTCACATTGCAGTATAGCATGAGTTGCTGGAGTTGCAGGGGGAGGAGCTGATTGCTTTTAAGTATCTCTGGATGCTGTTAACAGATTTGGAAAACTTAGTAATGTGCTCTGCGTAGTGTTAGGGTACTGCAAAGAGGAAGAAAAATATGTTGCCTTGCCTTATGTATAACAAGTAGAACCCCTTACAGACCTATTTATAAACTCAGGATATAGAACTGGGAATTTGAATTACTTAGAAAACAAAGCTTGGTGGACCTTCTTTGTCATGATAATATCATACAGCCCTCCTGGGTTTCATATGAGAGTTGGGTAAGCGCAACATGCCTTTCCAACTTGTGATTTGCAGAAGGAAGAAAAAGGATCTGGCCCCAGAGCTCACATCCACAAACCCTAGACCCCACCCAGTACAAGACTTGCTTTTGCAGATAAACCAGGAAAACCCAATTGTATTATTTTGGAATATATTTAGTATCTATACCAGATGTATGCTACATGATGCTGTTCAAGAGGCAATTCAGTTATCAGTCATCAGTTGCCACAAAAACATCTTGAAAAAGCTTCTTATTTTGTCTGAAAAGTGAATGTTGAAACTTCTGTCCATTCCAGTTAGTGTCTGAGGTATCAAGATGCAAACACACCCTTCTCATTCTCCTAATTCTTTCTTCCCAAGTGTCATCATGTTCTAGATAATATTCTAGCTACTATCTTAGATTCTACTTTTGTTTTCAAAGGTGTTCTTGTCCTCCAGTTAAATTAACTACCCCTCTGTCCAAGGTATTGGTGTTCAAAACAGGTTTTCAGTCTTGCTATAGAAATTAAACAAAATTAATGTGTTTTGTAACCTTTTTACCTAGTTTTCTCTCCTAAGGACTCAGTCCTTCTGGTGCTGGTATACAGAAGAGTGAGATGAGTAAAATTAAAACCAGCTGTATCCCCAGGTTGTCACGTTCCCTGATCTCCATTCCCTCTGAGAGAATGGCTTTCCCTCAGCCCTGAAGGAAATAATTGGACTTCCCATAAATTCCACTTCACTGCCCAGAGTCATTCCTGTATTTAAAAAGCCCTCCAGAATGCCAGTAAACAAAACAAATAAACTTCTTTTCATGCAGTTTCTCACTTCTGTTGAGTGAGCTCTTTTCAAATGTCTTTAGCCACTCACCATCTTCTTTCAAGGCTCACCCAGTGAGACAGTCTTTCTCTAGAACAAAGAAGAGAAGGATTTATATGAGCAGTTGTCTTTCTTTTCCAGCACTGGTACTAATGCCCTTTTGGTCAACACACCCAATAGTATTATGCATCCAGAATCAGATCAGAAAGTGACTGGAGAGTGGAGCTGTGGGCAGCTGTGTTATCCCAACAGCTGGGAAGAGGGGGAAGGGGGAGGGGGGGAATGTTTGGAAGCAGGAGGCAGGCAAAAAGAACAAGAGAACACATTTTATTTTTCTCAAAAAATGTTTGTAAAAATGCTTTTGTGTTGGACAGTTTCTAAACTGAAAGCTTAATTTAAAGGCTTGGTATACCCTCAAATAGCATGTAACTGCACATTTCCTCGAGAGATAACTAAACGATTTTACTGAAATAATAAAATTTCATTTGGGAATCAAGTAACAAAAAACTGCTTTACCTGAGGAAACCAGTTTGGTCTTGGCTGGGTGATGGCATGAGTTCACAGGGAATTCAGATATAAGCTATAATGTATCCTTTTCTGAATACAGCAACTCCGTTGGATACATGGATTGAGCCACAGGGGAGAAAACTTGCAATGGAGATTAGTTTCATGTAATAAAAATGCAGTTTTCTGAAGGACTAATGCATAGCCTTTTCATCTTAAAGAAGGATGTTTCCTGTATGAAATGAGTATGGGCATATACTGACAGATCTTTATGAAAATACGCTGTGTTGCTGTCCACTACGATTGGATGTACTCCTTTATTATACTTAGTAGCCTTATCTTGTTTATAGAGTTCACTAGATTCCCCAACACCTCCAAAACTAAGGAAGATCTCTAAACTTGAATTACCTACTATTAATTTTGGTAATGTGAAATCTTCACTGTCTTCTGTGTTCCCTACTCAACACAAATCTCAGTAGGCTACAATGACAACAGCTAAAACTATCTCTTCCTGCATGTGAAGACTGTATGTTCCTTCTGTTTTTCATGTGTTTCACAAGGTGTTACATGGCTAGGATCCATCAATTTCTTTCATTGAAGAACTCAAATTTACTTCCCACAGGCAGGAATGACTCACAAATGGAAGAAGATTTTTATGAATGTCAGATTTTGTTTTTGGCAACATCCTCGCTGTTTACTTAAAGAAATTTATTTAAATAGATGTTTATTTAGTAGTTTTGGTAACTTTCAAATAAAATATGCATTTTTCAGACTTCCTTTTATAATGGATTTGTTGTTGCTGTTGAATAAACCTCTATCAGTCATTTGAAATGTGAGTCTACCATTATCATTACAGTGGTCCCTGTAATGGTGCCAGTCTACCAATATCATTACAATGGCCCACATCAGTCCAGGGATAACCCCTGAATTTTTTAGTGATGAGCTCTAACTAAAATGTAGTTGCATGGAAAATTCTCTCCTGCGGTACCAAGAGACAGTAAACAACATGGGATATTTTAATTTGCTTGGCTCACATATACATTCTGTGCTCTAACGTGGTAAGGACTCCTTCTTCATTTGTCAGTGCTTTTAAAAAAGCCAGGCACAGCGTGTTTTTTGTTTTTTTTTTTTTTAATATATATATATATATAACCTTACTCGATCACTGCCTAAGAAGCCATACACTTAGAAACAAAGAGATCACAAAACATTGTCACCCAATGAGAAAGCCTGAAGCCTCAACATTTCCTCTATGTACTCTGGCTGTGTAAAGAATGTATGCTGTTCTCTTCTTATCAAGTTCATATTTGCATTAATTTGGTGTAATGTGAGTGAACAGCAAAAAAAGCTTTAGCTCAGAAGAGCTTATTCAGCCAAAGAACTCAAGGCTGGCCTTGAGCAGCCCAGTGATCTGCATGCACCTTGATACTAACCCTCACCATGCCTTGCAAACAAGCCAAGCAGGGCTGCAGGCTCCCATTCTCCCTGGAAGAAATGATCAGGACAGACACGACGACACTCTTTGGGACTTGGAGGACTGTGATTAACACCTTATCTATGTGCTGGGGTGATCCTGCTTTGCATGCAGGGCTTGAGCCTGCTGCACTCTCCTGGTGCCCACACATGCAGGTGGGTGCCCTTCCTCCAGGACCCCACTGCTGGCAGGACATCCCACCACGGGATGGTCTGGATGAGGGAGTCACCAGACGATTTGCTGCTCTCTGAGCCTGGCTTTCCAGAGACTCCTCTTCACCTCAGTTATACTCCCAATTCCCCAGTTACAGCACGTAAATAAAACTGACCCATAGTGAGGGCAGAAGTTTCAGTTCCTGGGCTTTTCCCTCCATCTGTGGGAGACAGGCATCCTGTGGGAGGCATCTGTGGGAGACAGCACCTCGAGTCTGCATCACCCTGGGAACATTTCTGGGTGAGTGGATAAATGCAGAATACCTGCCCGAATACTTCCCTTTCAGCTTTTATTTATCCCATTGCTAGTCCAGTCTCTGGTGTTTTCAAGTAGGACCCCGATCTTATAAGACAGAAGAGCTGCCTTCACGCCACATTTCTAAAAAGCACACAGGAGTGTCGACAGGCATCCTGCCCCTTGATTCTCCTTCCCACGGCAGTGGCGCTGTCCCCTTCCCTCACCTCCTCCCCAGCCCCTCCGGACCCCATAGCACGTCCCCACGCATCCCCCTTACAGCACCACGCAGCCCCATGCAGCCCCCAGACCCCCTCCAACCGCCCTGCAGCCCCTAGACACCTCCTAAACACCTATATCCACCCCACGGGCAGCAGCCCTTCAGCCTCACACCGTCCCCCGCGTGCGACCACCTCCACCCCCCGGCACCCCATCCCCTCCATCCCCCGCAGAGCCCCCTCGCCGCCCCAAATGGCGTCGGCAAGGGTTAACGGCGGGGCCGGCGGGCACATGACAGTGCCGGCACGGCCCGGCCGGGCTCCGCGGGGAGCTGCTCGCTGCCGGCGGGGGAGGCGGGAGGTGAGCGCGGCGGGGCGTGCGCGGCCCGGCCGGGCTCCGTCCCGCCTGCCCCCGGCCCCCCGGCGGGGGCTCGGCCCCTCCGCCGCCGCCGCCGGGAGAGGTTGAGTCGGCAGCTCCCGGCCCCCGCGTCAGAGCCGGGCGGGAGGGAGGGAGGGGGGGGGAGAGAGGGTTGTTGGGGGAGAAAAAGCAAAACAAACGCGGCGGCGGTGAAGTTACTTGGCCGTTACTCACCGCGCTGACCAACCCGCCTGCCGCGGAGATGAGGGCGCAGCGCCGTCTGGCAGGACGGCACAGACAGACAGACAGCCTCCCGGGAGAGACGGGTCATCCCGCGGGTGAATAAGCGGAGATAGGTACGAGCCGGGGGAGGCGGCGGCGGCAGAGCCTGACCCGCCGGCGGCGCGGAGCAGCGCGGGGGCAGCGGGAGCGGCGCGGAGCGGGGCCGGCGGGGCGCGGGGGGCGAGGCGAGGACCCGATGTCGGGACCCTCGCGGCGGGGACTGGCCCGGGACCGGGCGTCCCGCGGGCAGTGCCCGGCGAGGTGACAGCTCTGCCTCGTCTGAGGGCCTGCGTGCGGCCGCTCACCGCGGCTCCTCGGGCTTCGCGGCTTTCAGCAGTGCCCTCCTCTCCTCAGATCCCCGGTTGGGTTATGTCCCGGGCTGAAGCCGCTCCAGTTTCAGCGGTGAGGCGTGTGGGTGAGGTACGGGTGGCAGTGGGCATCTAACGGGATATCTGCCCGCGGCAGCGTGGGGTGGTGGCAGCGGGGCACCGGGGCAGGTGCCTCTGGCCCTGTGGCTGCTGTCCCTTCCTCCCATGGGAACACCGTTGGTGGTTCCCCGTCTCCTGCTCACGCTCACACCTGCTGCAGCTATCAACAGCAGGTCCGAAAGCACGCCTCAGACAGTGCCCGCTGCTTCCAGGTTGTGCTGGGTTTCTCTGTCAGCTCACCTGAAGTGTGTAGCTCACCCTAGTGAGAATAATGCTGCTCCTGGAAAGCTCCCGCTGTTTGGCTGCAGCAACCACTTCCAGTGACACAGCCCTGCCACTCTCAGTCCTAACGGAGAAAAGTCTGAGGAGATCCTAGTTACCACCATAAAAACCTGAGGATATTTTTCTGGCAGAGTGGTAAAAATTTTGGGTCCCGACTACATGAGGATATACATCATCCTGTCTACTGATAACGGCTGCCATTCTGATGGCAGTCACAGCAGTATTGGTGGCTGCATTCTGTGCTATGTTTGTACAGTTCCTTGCACAAAGGCATTCCTTTCTGTGACTAATCTTCCCAGGAATTATAGTGATGCCAGTAATAAGTAATTAGTGTATTTATTACATGAGCTCTGAGAAACTCGGTTGTGTTTGGAGGCTGGTTGTCTTACAGCGCTGTAAGCAACCTCCTCTTACTTTCATGTGCCTTGCTTGTTGATGTCATTTCAAGAAGACTTTCTGCTGATCGTGGAGAACCAGAAACCTGGAGACTGTATGACTCTTCCATCATTTTTACTGGATAACTACCTGGGCTTAAATAAATGTGGTATCATCAGGGTACCGCAGTTTAGAATCCATGCCCCTGTGGTAGTCTAAAAGTGCAGGTGTCATAAAAAGGACACAAATGACCAAAACAGTGGATGCTAATGTAAGGTACTTACTGTTGTCAGTACTGCATAGCTTCTGAGATGCAGGCTTGCATGGAGTGTAGGGAAAAGATTCTATAAATTGTGTGCGAAGTGTATTTCATAGCTTCAGTTTTGAAGCCACATCATCTTCCTTTATTGCAATTGTGGTTCCTGATCTGCGTATTGTTCCAAGCTGAGTTCCAAGCTGTAAGTTTAGTTCTTTTTTTTTTTTTTCCTAGTTAAATCTCCTTCCCTTGGAAAGGAAAAGGAAAAGAAAAACCCATCGTTACCTATCGTTTTGGTTTCTGAACTGTAGCCAGATACCTGTGCAGAAGGTGTCAAACCAGTACTTCATTTGGTGAGCGTGTGTTTTTTAGAAGACAAGTTGTTAAGCTGGTGGCTGTGGAGCTTCTGTCAGGGTGCATGCTTTTCACAGCAGCTGTGATACACAGCAGCTTCCAGGGCCCAGTTTCTGTAGACAAGGGGCGGTCAGCAGGGCTGAGGTGGGGCACCCCCATTCTGGAGCCCTCCTCTGGACCAGTGCCAAGATGGGGCGGGGGGATGCTGGATAGAAGCTGTCCTTGGTCTTGGTGAGGTGAAGATGGCACTCGCAGTCCTGCAGTGCATGGTCCAGGTGCACGAAGGGGTGATGCCATGTGTCTGCTCTTGTGGTAGCTGCTGTGGAGGTGAGGTAAGGGTTTCCAGTGGAAGAATATGAAGAAGGGACTGCATGCTGCGTTGTCCTTCAGCCTTCTTTGTTATTGCTTGATACTTTGATAGTGCTTGATACCTGATGTGCAAAGTGCCCACGTCTGATAAACACCACCTAATCAAACTGTGAAAGTGTCTCCTGAGCTAGATTAATTACAGCTTCTTAAACTGATGTCTTCAGTGGGCTAATTCAGCACTTACTGAAACTCAGTGGTGTATTACCTCTTACTTCAGTGGGTGGAGTGATAAACCAGCACTTTTCAAAACTGCACTGTAAGAGCAGACTATATGGCATACTGCACTGCAGGCAAAGGCTTGTGAATTCATCTTTTGTTCTCCTTCCTGAAGGACTATTACTCACATTTTCCAGAGATTCAGCTTGAATTTAAATTTTACTACATGGTTTTCTGAAAGTGAATTTATGAATCATTGTTATGGAGTTTGAGTAACTGTGCTGTCATGCTGTTATTGATAGATGCAGAGTCATAGAACTTTGAGTAATGTCAGCTTACAAAAAGAGACTTCAGAAGCGGTGGACCTAAATGTATTTGCTTTGACATCAGAGCAAGTAGGAAAGGGCACTGCGATGTCTCATTGATGGAGAGAAATATTTCATTGAAAGGTGGCAAGTGCTTGTACACTGCTTTGGTACAACAAAAGAATTTGTCTGGCACAACTGTTCAGTCTCGGGATAGTATTCTTTTCTTTTGTATTTTTGTGTTCTTAATTTATTGTATGTAAGTTTCAACCCTATTTGGAATTTCTAAGGGTAAGGTAAATAAGCAGCAGTATCTGATGCAATATTCCTACAACTTCTAAGATCACTATGGTTATCATGTCTTTTTACTTTTATAAATGTCTATAATCGGGAGCTATTTATGATGTAAAAGTCATTTAGACTTTTAGAATTTAATTAGCATCCGATTGCCTTTTAGTTAGTTACATATGCTTCAGTGCAGTTTAGTCACTCTGACTTTGATATAAGAATGTCATTTTGATGGAAGCTGATACTAAACAAATCAAATTAATGAAAGGGCACTTGTGAACAAGTAAATTATACTAAAAGTACAACAAAATAATAATTCAAAAGAGATGAGAAAAGTAACGCTCTCCAAGGTGCTTTAGTGTTTTACAGAAAGTGCCAATTTTCATGTTAATGTAGTGTTACACATCTTCATGATGGAATCAGAAAGATAAATTGGCAAAGAAGTTGTAGAGAAATTACTTAAATTGTTTCTGCTTTCATCCATAAAAAGAATAAAGGTTGTTTTTTGTGCACTTTCAGGTCATTTGGTTCAAAACATATCTTTACTGGCTTTAATAAAGAATTTACAGGCCCAGAGGCCTTCTCTTCAAGTGTGAAAGAAACAGCAGTATCCAGTGATAAAAGTGAGGCAAAGACAGTACAGAACAGTGTTATTCATTGTAAAATACATTTACAGTAGAAGAAGAACAGTAAGGAGACCAAACAGCTTTGACCTGGATTTTGCCTGAGCTGGTAGGTCTGTGTAAACTGTGTGTATATTTGTTGATGAAACTAAAGATGCTTTTACTGAGTAAAGCTAATGCATTTGTCATGTGTAATCTTTTCTTGATTATATTAGTACTTTTCACAGACAGGGATTACGGACAAGAATGATTGCTATCTGTAGCCAGTTTATAATGCCATGGTATATAGCCTTACCAGCAAAACAACTGCCTTTGTTTGTGTTTCCTTTTCTAAGGAACTAGTCACCTGTGTTAGGACAAGGTACATTCTGCTTTTAAAACAAACTGAGGATTTAAGAACATTCAGCTCTGTCTGTCCTTGGTTGAATTGCAAAGAATGATTTGTGCTTCATCAAGGCATGACAGTAAATAATATTGCTTTTAATTGGTGTTCTTTACAATTTTTATTCCCATAATATAAAAATATAACAATAAAAATAGTATTCTAAACACATCTTTTGAGACCAAACCAGTGTGGTTAGGGCATCTCTCTCTTACTGACGTCAGCCATAATATTGCTCTTGTCTTTGAAGATAATATGCTTAGACCTTTAATTGTTAGTGAGTTTAAACTGTAGTGTGTGTATGTGAATATCTATACATGTGTATCTACACAGTCACTTAGATGACTTTTACTCTAGTCTGGAGGTGTGATATGAATGCAATTTTGCAAAAAAAAAAAAAAATTTTTTTTTTTTGGCAGCTCACAGAGGGAGAAAATTGGGACATAGTAATCCAAGGGTTAAGCCTGAAGGTTCTACACAAACTTTGATCATGAATATACTGATCGTAACATTACTAGCTTCAATGCTGAAAACCTCATGTGCTGAAGATAGAAGTTACAGTTCAATGTTTTGCTGCAGCACAGTCAAAATACTTAATTAAAACCTTACTGTATACATGATTTAAGACCATAATTGGAGCTGAATTTCAGTTTTATTTCTGTCAATTTGGATGTCAGAACAAGTCAGTTAGGCACAGAGTCCATGATTGAAAAAACTACTTAAACATGTACTTAATGTTAAACATATGAACCTAGTGATGAAAGTTGGGCATACGCTATTCAGCTGAGCTATGGCTGAAATTTCCCCATCTGTGTGATACCTTAGCCTAGTGATTTACACTGACAAGTGCAGCTTTTGTCTACAAAATCTTTTTTATATTGGGAAATGTTTAGATCTAGTTGATTCTGCTGTGGCATAGGTCATGTCTGAGATGATCACTGAATACATTTAACTGGTCTTTTCTTCTAAGATTGAAGTAACAGGAAAACTTAAGTGAGAAATGTGTCTTTGTGGAAAGTCAGAGTTCCACAATTATTATCATAATCAAAAGATGGCCATGAAAACTTGCCACTATATGATGATATCTAAGTTTCATTATATCTGTAGGCTTATAGTGGGCATCCACTTTTGTAGTTACATTCACAAATACTGCTACACTGTACTTTCTTGTAATAGTTTTTTCTACAGTGAAGCCCCACCAGTGTTGGAAGGACCAAAGAGGCATTTCTGTGGTTTTGCTTTTTCCTCTCCTTTCTGTTGTGTGTACATCCTTTAGGATGTGAACTGGCATCTCTTTCCTGTTTTATCTGCATTGGCATAGTGCTGCCCTGCTGTGTTTGCTTTTCAGCACCATTTTAATTAATAGACTGAGGAGGTGGCAGGAAAAGGGGAGATACCCCTGTTCATCCTAACAACGATGCCTTATCAGAGAGTCTTTTCACTCCTGGCTGCATTCTTTCAGTTGCTCAGCATTCACTTCATTTCATGGCTGGTTTAGCTAATGCGAAGGCAGCTGACCTTATTGCAAACTTCAGCTTTTGAAGGGGCAGGTTCTCTCCACATTGGAGCCGTGAGTTATTGCTTGGCTTTGTTCTTTCTCCCTGATAGGCCATGTAGCACTTGTACTTGGTTGCTTGTAACCGGTGATGTCACCAAGTTAACAGCCAGAGGCAGACCTGTCTTTTACACATTATTTACTAAACCATCAATTATTTTTATTTATGTATTTATTTATTTTTTAACAGGTGTAATACACAATGGATTACTTACTGACTTTGGATTGATATCAGTCATAGCTGTGGGTCTGTAAAACCACGCTTTGATTTCATTAACTCCTTAAAAATGAATGGGAGGTCATGCAGTATGAGCCATCGGACAACAGGTATTTCTCATGGAACTGGGATGATCAGTGGACAGCAGATCCCACCGATCAGAGTTCATGCAGGAACTCCCTGCGTATCTTCAGATAGCAGCAGCCAAAGCCCGGCTATCGGAAACTTTTCTGCCAGCCTACACTTAAAGATGCCCCTAGGAGGAGGGGTAGCTCCTCAGAGCAACATCATTGACAGTACCATTCACCTTCCCGCTCTAAGTCCCAGAAGACAAGTGGTTACAAATGGGAAGCCTTTATTTGAAGTCCTGCAGCCCCCAGGACTGCCAGCCCCACAATCCTTAAAGCCAAAACAGCAAGAATTTGGAAACACATTCTCCCCATGCACAGGTAAAGGTAAAACTTTTTATATTGCTTTTAGTAACAGCATTTCTTCTCCGGTATCACATAGCTAGATGGTATTGGTTTCAGTAAATCCAGTATCTTCTTTACCACTCTACAACAGAGGAGATACTGAAACAGAATGTTTTGCTATTTTCAACTAAAGTAATTAATCACTTGTTTTTTTTCCAAGAGCTTTGTAATTTACAGCAGTTGCTCATACTCCCGGAGCTATCCATACAGCTATAAACAGTGTGGTCTGACTTTGCTTTCCTAACCTAACTCAACAAATCCAAATAGTTGTTTCGTGCTCTGTAAAGTCAGAACTTTGTGAGTGCTATCAGAAATATTCCATCTTGGATGTATGAGCACAGCTTTCCACTGGTGACTAACAGCTGCTTAACCAATGAAAGCAGCAATGTAGTCAGAGTTTTTAGAGTGCTTAGGCAGGGCAAGCTGTAAAGCACCTTAGAGGATGTCTCAACCTTAGATTTTCAATCCAATTTCTGGAACCACTGTGTGTGCTGTGGAAAATAATGATGCATAGCTCTTACAAGATTTTGATGCAGATCCTCTTTGGGTAAGTAGTTGTACATCAGAGATTTACACCTCTATCAGAAAATACTCTATTATCTGCTCTTCAGTCTATGAAGTTAGAAGAGGACTTTAAGGTTTCAGTAATTATGGATTCTGGCCAAGCTAAAATCAGGACACTATTTTTGAGGAATTTTGGTGCATAGACCTAAGGATTTAATGGATAGAAAGCAATTAAATATTTTAAAATACCAGGAAAAGCTTGGATTTATATCTAAGTGCAAGTACAGAAAAGGAGACAGATTTCTTGTTTTATGCCAAGCCTGTTGCTTTTCTCAGTTTTCCTTTTTTCTTCATTACTCTGCTTAGAAAATTTAGTAAGTCCAACATTCTTCAGCAAGGCATGCAGGCTTGAAACCACCAGTATTTCAGAACAAGTTGAAAGTTAACTGCATGGTTGAGTGCTCTGCTGAGTCAGGCCTGTAGTAATGCATATACATATTCATTGGGTGACCTCTGAGATTGCTCGTCTGGTGCTTGCTTTGTTGTTGGTGGTGGGTGTAATTTACAACATCTAGCTTAAAGCTTTTGCTGTTGGCAGCAAATAGAGGTGGACTCCTCACATGAAGAGCTCTGGAGGAAAGTTTTTCTCTGACACCACAGGTAGAGCTTGGTTCCTGCTCTGTTCAAAATTATTTACTTAATATAATTCAGGGATCCCATTCAGGGATCTCTAAAACAACTTATGCAGCAGCTGCTCCACCAGCTGCATGTCTTGCAGAGAGCATCACATGATGAAGAGAATGTCACCTAGTTTATTGTCCTTGGCATTTAGGGTTTTGGATCTGCTCTGCCTGACCACGGTGTTCCTGTTTTTCATTTCCATCTTTGTTCCTTGGCCCACTCACCTACTGTGTATGTAAAACAGTCCGCAATTTTGAATCACAGCAAACAGTGATTCTGGTGGAAGGGCTGGCATTAGGGAAGCTTATGTATAAACAGTGCTGGTTAGACATTTTGGAACCAAATAACTGAAAAGGCAACAGACAGCGACAGTTGCAAAATAAATGAAGAACTTAAGGAAAGACATTAGGAAATAAAGAACATGGGTGACACTAACATATACACGTGCTTGTCTTTCCAAAAGCATGCTTTGGATATTTGTTCTGTAATCAGGCAATATAGGATGGCTAGGGAATGGCCACAGAGCTCTTGATTGTACCCTCGTCTACCTTCTTTCTTCTCAGTGCCTTTTCATTCATCAGACAGATGTTGTAGTATTTACTTGTAAAACCAGGTTATCCCATGCAAGAATATGTTGTGGTTTGATTTTTGAGAATTTATAGAATGGTGGGAACTCTACATAGTGCAGGAAGATAAGTTACCATGGAAGAAGATACTAAGGGCTTCAGGTACCATGGACTTTGGATTCTGTTTCTATTGATTGGGGTTGGTAATTCCTCCTACTTTAATGTTCTTTTTATTAACAGGCCTGCTTAGGAAGTTAAAGATTACGTGTGCTGGGATATATATATCTTCTATATATCATAGAAGAACTAAGTCTCATGCACTTAGCCAAATACACTTAGTCAAATACACTTAGCTGCATCCATATAATTTTCTAAGACACTGATATGCTGCATAAAGCTTATAAATAAGACTATAAACCTCTAAAACTATTAATGTAACTTATGCTCGTGCAGGTCTTTTTTTGTCCTTTACTAGTGGCTGGTACATGGAGGGCAATGTTTTTTGATAGGTATTTGTTTTAGTTAAAGCTTTTTCTCAGGAAGACAGTAGTTTTCCTTTTACAGTTGTCTTTGTATCCGTATAGAAGTTTGCACTATTCAGAGATTATTGTTGTTGTTTTTCTTTTTTAACTTTAAAATATACGGACTAGTAAAAGCAGCAAGATACACAAGAAAATGACTTTTTGGTGTTGGCAAATAGCTTTCCTGCTCATTTTCAATAATGTATAAACCATTTTTAAAAAGACCACGAGCTTCAGTTTGGGATAAAGGTAAGAACAAAATATTGTGTGCAACTATATACCTTTTTTCTATGGAGTTTTTTTGACAGGAGATGGTGCTGAGTGTACAAAGAGAACAGTAATAACGTACAGTAAGTGCAACATGCTCTCAGCAACATGCTGAGAATCTTTTATTTTCATGAAGACTATCTTTATCTTGTATAATGATGCAAAGGTTTGAAAGAAAAGGATTTTTAGAAAGGTTGCCACCTCAAGTCACATTAACAGAAACTGTTACACTTCTGTGCATGACAAGAACCTAGAGCACACTGTGTTTTCTCACTGTAGGGAAAAAAAGCAAGTCTTGACAGGCACTTGTGTATGCCTCTGACTTCAGCTACTGTACCTCCTGTGTGGTACTGAATGTATGATGTGCTTTCTAGTACTGTTTTGTGCATCCAAAAAATAAAATAGCATAATGGTGGATTTTTTTTTCAGTACGGAAAATGTGAGAGTAGGTTGTTTTTGTTGCTAAGAATGAACACTTTTGTCTTCCCAAATTATATATTTTCACATATAAATTAGGTGCAAACTGCAAGTATAACAGTACACATATTTGACTTTGGAAATCTACAGTGTCACATTACATTTGGTGTGTCTATTTGACCACTTTTTGTGAGTAATTAGTTCCACACATTATAGATTTACTCAGACTTTGAAAGATCTCTATTGACACTAGCTGCTATGGTGAAAAAGAACTGGAGAGACATCAGGTAAAAATGAGCAGAAAGGTTTGAGAGCAGCAAAGAGAGACAGAAGACTGCAATGTGGTCAGCATTTGTCTTCAGCTTCTCTTTTCAATGCAGATCTTTTGAGAGGTCTTGTAATGAAAACCTACACCATTAAAAAAATTTCTAGCTTTCTACTGCATGTTCTGTTAATAATGTAAATTTAAAAAGAAAGTCTGATCTTCATATGGTTCACATTAGAACTGCCCTTTAAGTGTAATGATGCCCAGGCAATGTTATTTATTCAAAGATACATTACTTAGCTTATCTGCTCTGAATACACATATCTAAGTAGCATTTCATCTTCTAGAAAATCCAGTATCTTTTCTTATTCCTTGTCTTTTTCACTCATTTGTATGGAGAAAAATTTTGTCAGCATGAGCTGGAGGATGTTCATGCACATCCTGAGTGTTGTCATGTCTAACATAGTAATAAAAATCCCAAATCTTTTGGAAAATAGAACACATTTTCTGAGTGCCAACATGCTCAACACCTGTACCTGCTTTCTCTTACTCTGCAAATGAAATCGTATGTTTTTGAACTCCATCAAGACCTATTAAAAACAAACACATTGCTGCTGATTTAGGTAGTTACTGGAGTTGGCTGCTAAGGAAACCTTATCTTTTTCCCTCAGCATTACCTAGTAGGGTCCAGTAGGTACAGAGGAGGGTCAGGTCCTGGGGGAGCTGGATCCTTGGCCTGAAACACTGTGATCATACACAAATATTTATAGAAGCTTATTTGAGGCTTAGTAGTAGATTTTCCTGTCATGTTAGACAATACACTGCAGTCTTAAAGCTACTCAAATTTGCCTGATAGAGAATTTCCACTGTGATAGGAATTCTCCAGTGAGGTACTTGCTGTTCATGGAGGTGGCGTAGCTGCTGCACCTCCAGCTAGTGTTCCCATAACCTGGTGGAGAGGTCCCACAAGGACACAGGAAGTGGGGTGGCAGCATGTCATCATGGCTTTTGGTCTTCTTTCTTTATATGTTTGTGGTTTGACCTGCTATGTCTGGCAAGACTTTCTAGAAATTACAAGCAGCTCTTAGACATGGCAGCCATAGCCACACCATTGTGCCCTTTTCTCTCTGGCAGCAGATGATGCTTCATACATAGCTCAAGTCTTGGAAGTCAGTCTGGCCTTTTGTTCCACTCTGGTTGCTCTACCAGAACTGTTTTGTACTCAGTGTGTGGGTATGTGACTGAGGGTGTGTTATAGCTGTGAAGAGTTGACATGAAAATACTTGAGATGGGGCTTGAGGAAGATAATCTGGACATATGCAGGTAAAAGAAAATGCTTACTGGTATTTAAAGAAACTAGCCATTAAAGAAACATATGCAGATATATGTTGATCCCTTTTGCTGTCCATTTTACGGTTATTTTATAATAGTTATCATCTTCCATTTCTGTGATTTCTACCAAGTTAAGTGTCTGCCTTTAGATGAAAAATCCTCATGTATTTTATTTCCTATTATGGTTGCCTTGCAAATGCAACTAGATTTTTTTTTCATGGTAAAATGTCTGATAAGATAGAATTCATGTTTCCTGTACAGGATCAATAGGACTCTTTCTTAACCTAGAAATATTGACAGACGTTAAATCTTGAGGCTGTTTTTTTTTTTTTTTGTTTCAATATTTTATTTTATTTTATTTTTAATCATGTGTGTGGTTTTGTTGTTGTTGGGGTGGGGCTCTTTGTTTGTTTTTGGTTGGTTGGATTT